TGGGGGAGATGTGTGTGTATGTGTGTGTGGGTGGGGGAGATGTGTGTGTTTGGGGGTGGAGGGAGTATTGAACCGTGTCCTTTGGGATGCCACTGCACTGAACCGCAAGCTTCATCCTCATTGCTTTACACTGCATTTTATTTGGAAAGACAGAAATCTCCTTGAGGCGAGTGTGTAGGATCTGAAGCCCAACCAATTGGCTGCAGAAGGTCCGGATAGGGAAAGAGTGGTTTAGATTCTGCAACTTCTGAGTTCAGATTTCCTCTCATCGTAATTCGATCCAAAGGCATCATTTCACATTGAGTAGCGATTTAGTTTAATAGTTGACACTTTACGAGTCCAATGCCTTTTCACTGTTTTGTTTTGGTTGTCAGTTTATTTTCGCGGTGTCAGTAGATATTCCAGCAGTTGCCCCCTCTCTGGGGCATGTTAAGGTTTCAGGCTCGCTGCTCAGTCTCTCTCATATCTTTTAGCAAAGTGCTGCATCGCCTGACTCCTCTGCTCAGAAACAGCACAATGAACTTTACATTCTGCCTCCAACTTTCCCTTCTGTATGTTTCTCCGGCCCCCAAGCCTTTCAGACCAGCTACCCCCCACCCCCACCCCGCCCCCGCCCCAGTATAATTCTGCACATTGCAGCCAATCGCTGAATGTAAATCCATCCCATACTCTATTCCAAAAGAAAAAGATCCGCCGCGTGTTTTGAACGCGCTCTGCCCCTTCCCCGGGGTGTGATCTTGATGAAGGGTTTTAAGGGTCTGATTGAGGACCACAGCTCCTGGCGTCTGACACCTCGGGGTTCCCTGTTCTCATTCCGCTGAGGCCGGTCCACGTGCTGTTGGCGGCGATTTTTGTTCAATTTACGCGCTTTGTATTAGGGTTCAGTCCAGGAGTGACACTAAGGTAGTTTATTCCCCTGAATAAAGGCTAACTGCAGTAAGCTGTCACTTTGGTTAAGCATCTCTGAAGAAACCGACCCATTCCAGGGATTTATCCCAACACGCGTCATTTCCCCTGAAGGCTCAGTGTCATTACAATCCTAATGCGTTGCGCCATTATAGGAACTAGACACAGATTTGTTTTCTTAACGCCACAAAGCGGTTAAATTGTTCCCCTTCTCCCAATCCTTTGTGTTGGGTGCATCGGCGAGACCCATTAGAGCAATGAACTGCTGTAATAGCCTGAACCGGGATTAATTATAATGGTGCTGAGACAATGTCCGAGTGCTAGACTTCCGAAATGTATGGTACACACGAAAGGAGTGTGGTGGGAGCGCACACAAGATAATGATTCCTTTCTGCATACAAAGCAGTTAACCACGCTTAGATTAAGCCGAAAGTGACTGATGTTCTACGAGGTTGATATAAGTATTTGAAAAGCACCTGTACTAATTGTGATAGCTGCAGTAGCTTTAATTATCCCACATTAAAGAGATAAGAAGATTCATAGATGTGGAAAGTTGGGAAGAGCATCTCAAACTCACAATGGCCCCGGGCAGCTGTTAGAAATATTTTGATAAAGGAACCGACACAAATCGTAACATTGGATGCTCAAGTTTGGGTCAGAAATGTAGATGACCATGGGATTGGCTGGGGCCATGTAATAATGGGGGGATGAAATGAATCGTTAGAATCAACTCCCCTACAGTGTAGGAACAGATGCTGGAATCTGAACTGAAAGCAACAATGAAGATCACAGCTAGTCAGGCAGCATCCATGGAGAGAGAGCAAGCTCACGTCAGCTCTGACGAAGAGTTATCTAGACTTGGAACGTTAAGTTTGCTCTCTCGCCACGGATGCTGCCTGGCCCGCTGTGATCTCCAGCATTTGTTGTTTTCAGGTCCCCCTACATTGTTCGTTTGCTCCGAACTTCGGCCTCTTTCAGCTAGATTCATGCAACATTTCTGCCATACACGTGAGCACAAAAATCTTATTTCGGCAGGAAAATTGCAGCAGTTTTGTTGGAAGATCATACAGCGGTTGTAGGTATCTTTTTATATCAGCAAGTCCAGACCAGCTATGACACAATCACTGGAACAAGTTCACTTCGGTTTATTTCAGTCCCTGACTCTTCCTGCATTGAGTTTGCTATGATCTATGAACCAGAGCAAATGTGGCATCCTGCTCCACGGCTTTCTGTTTGTTTCATTTCCAGGTATTTTGGAAATAACAGCTGTTGATGTGGGAGTTGTGGCAATTAAAGGCCTGTTCTCGGGTAAATACCTGGCTATGAATAAAAGAGGACGCCTCTATGCGTCGGTGAGTTAACCTTATGATAAAAATATTAAAATCAAGACACATTTTAATGATGTGAATGTTCGTGAGATGCTAATTTCAGATACTAAGATAAAGCAGTTAAAAAGCGTTCCACACATTGTCAGAATGGGCTTGGATAATAAGCTTCAGTAGTACATGCATAGAACATAGAACAGTACAGCACAGTAGAGGCCCTTCGGCCCGTGATGTTGCGCCGACATCGTATTAGATACCACAGAAACAACGTGACCCAGAACACAACCAAGCGCACCCGTTCACTTTGAATAAAAACCGAAAAAGAACTGCGGATGCTGTAAACCAGAAACAAAAATAGAAATTGCTGGAGGAAGGGTCACTCAACCCGAAACATTAACTCTGATTTCTCTCCACAGATGCTGCCAGACGTGCTGAGCTTTTTCAGCAATTTCTGTTTTGCACCCGTTAGCTTTGTTGAGTGAAATGACTTCATTAAGAGATAAATTAGCCGGCGCCATAAAGACTCCGAAAAATCGAGCTGAAGTAGGCAATTCAATTCCCTTCCTCCCTTCAACCTGATGAGGGTCACGATCTATCTTATCGCCATATTCCCGCACTCCCTGACACCTTTAAAATCTTCAGAGCCGTATATTTATTTCTTAAATATTTCCAATCAGTGACAGAAGTTGTGTAGTGACTCGGAAACGGCAGCCAGCGCCAATGGTGGCCAGCGAATTGAGTTTGCTCTGGATAGAGTCATAGAGCTAAACAGCACAGAAACAGACCCTTCTGTCCAACTCGTCCATGCCGACCAGATATCCTAAATAAATGCAGTCCCATTTGCCTGCATTTGGACCATATCCCTCCAAACCCTTCCTATTCATGTACCCATCTGGTCACTTGTCAGTGGGCTTGGTTTTCCCACCGGCCGTTTTAGTTTCTGGCCTCAATTTCCTGTTGAAATCTGGAGAGATTGGGCAGTTACTGCTGTCTGCTTTATGTGAACAGGCCTGTGGTCTCTGGATGTTAACTGATAACATCAGGAAGTGGCTCGTGGGGGTGGTATCCCCCAGGTTAAAGTGGACATTGAGAAGGTGGGAGTGATGTGTGTCTTTTTTTTGATGGTTTCTGGGATGTTGAGCAACGCTGCAAGATTGAGAAAGATCTTGACCACATCCCTGGGAATGGAGCCTACATTCCCATTGGTCCCTGAAGCGGTCGCCTTTTTTTTAATCTCTTTCTGTCGTTTACCAAAAACGGGCAAGTTGAGTGACTCCCCTTGTCCTCACTGAACCATACACAGCTGTGAGCTCATTGTGGTGTAAGTGCCTAATCTAAACGTTCCTATTAACCTCTCAAATACAGAACAAACTTCCAAATATTCCGTCGTCATCTCAAACCCAGAATAGTTTTGCAGAAACTGCGCGGTGACCAATCAGTGGTTACATTGCTGTCTGAATGTGAAAGTAGTTCACATCAACCAAATACCGTCAACCCGCAGAATACTAACCGCCACCCTCACAATCCCCGCTCCATGACCCTCAACACCCTCCCCCAGCATCACCGCCCAGCCCTGCCGTCTCCAGCTCCTGGAGAAGGAGATAATGGGGAGATTCATGTGGCAACACACAAACCATAAACTGCACAAGCGACCAGCCCGGCTTCAAACCAATGGGGAATCACCGTTAGAAACTCTGCATTTCCCCCCAGACGTTTCGGATTAACTACTTCACCGTCGGTTGTTTACGTACAATTTCCAAATCTTGGCGATCTTCAGCCGCCCTCTGGCATGATTCAAATGTGGTTTGACAAAAGCAGTGCAGTTTGGCTGAACTGCTTGTATCAAATACCTCTTAGGCTTGCTTTATGGGGAGTCACGGTACAGTAGCAGAGTCCTTGTTAGAAATAAATTCTGTTCTTTCTTTTCAGAGCATTAATTTAAATGACGCTTTTTGGTTGGACTAGGTTGATATTCACATGGAAGTATAGCTTTAAGACTGATACCTGGCTGGTGTTGTATATCTTAATTTTTTATTGTTTTCTCCCAATTTCAATTCTGCAAAACCGTACAAGTCCTCAGTAATGCTTCTCCAAAAGGGGTGGACTCACATGATCTCTGTTTGATCCTTTATTCAGCTCTAAATTCTATTCAGATAGAACATCGTTTGATATCACAGACTTCCAATCTTCTTATCTGTTCAAAGTGGAGTTGTAAGAGAAAGCGTTCTCACACAGCCAATCTTATCTCCCATCAGACTGCTACCGTCTCAGTACCAGCTTTTTCAATATGAGCCTCTGTTCGATTCAATGCCGTTTTATCCCTGATTGGTGGATACCTCTCACATACAACTGAGCAAAGTGCTACTTCCGATAGTTGTCATTAACTGGCAAAAAGTTTATAATGTGTTTCAGACATTTTTTTCTAAAAAAGAGAGGAAGGCGATTATTAAAGCATTACTTCCGACTAATTTTGGAAGTTTGACTTGATAAGGACTTTAGAAAAATGAACTTTTATTCAATGCGTAATTATCTCAACAAAAAAAAATGAATAGTTGTTAAGATCGAGGTTCCTAACTTTGATACAACAAAGAATCAGCGTCCTTTATACCTACACCACAGGTTCTAACAGTTTTCCCATCGTCGTAATGCGTCGCTGTGGCGTGGGGGGTGGTGGGGGTTGGTGGTGCATGGGGTGGCGTTGAAGGAACAGACTAACTTTGAAGAAAGTGTCCAACACGTGTATTTTATTGGTCTGTTCAAGGTCTTGGAATTGATTTCGTCACAAGAAAACGAAAATAACTTCTTTTTAAAACAAAAAGGTCACATTTGATTTAGGGCCACTTGATTTATGAGGCAGATTAATACAACGGGGCACCATCATTTAAAATGTTGTCCTCACTTACATCAACCGGATTTGATTAGAGCACTCTCCGCTGACTTGGGAATGAGCCAATTATTTTAACAAGTGTTGGATGGTTTCCCTGAGTAGATTGTAATAGGAACAGGAGTAGGCCATTCGGCCAAACGAGTCTGTTCTGCCAATCAATGAGGGGATCACTGATCTGTGGTTTAAATCCATATACCTGCCTTTGGCCCATGTCTCTTAATACGGTTGCTTAACAAAAAAAAAAGTTTATCGCTGATTTAATATTGACGACTAATCCCACATTCACTGCCCTTTGTGGAAGAGAGTTCCAAACCTCTCCCACCTTTTGTGTGTAGAAGTGCTTCCTAACATCTCTCCTGAATGGCTTTGCCCCAATTCTCAGACTATTCCCCCTAGTTATATAATCCCCAACCAGTGGAAGTAGCTTATCTTTATCTACCCTGTCTTTTCCTGTTAATATCTTGAAGACTTCGATCAGACTACCCCTTAACCTTCTAAATTCTAGGGGAAAAAACAGGCTAAAATGTGTAATCTCTCCTTATAACTACCCCTGAAGTTTAGGTATCCAGGTAGTCTGAAAAGCCACCTCCCTCACCCTCAAACACACAAACACACACACAGTTTCCCTCACCAGGGCAGGCAGCAGCATTGCTCCCATTTCCTCACGCGATGTGCCTTTGCTTCGGGAGATCTGAGAAGAGATGCAGAGTTTCCTTTTTGTTCATGTCGACTGGTTCTGTGACACAGGACACTGCGCTTTGCCGGCTGTTCCCAGGGACACACAGGCCAGGCAAGCAATAACTGAAGCTGGAAGTCCATCAGCTGCCTGTAATCAGAACAGAAGTTGCTGGAAAAGCTCGGCAGGTCCGGCAGCATCTGTGATGAAAAATCAAGAGGTAACTTTTCGGGTCCGGTGACTCTTCGTCAGGACTGAGGAAGTGGTCACCGGCCCCCAAATATGAACAGTGACCTGTGTTCTTCACAGATGCTGCCGGACCTGCTGAGCTTT